ATTACTAATAAGCGAATGAACATGCGATTATTACTCGAAACAATTCCACATAAAAACCGCGCATAATACTCGTACTATAACGAATAACATATATTTTTTTAAGTTTGTTTTTGTAAATTTTCTATTCTGCGACGTACAAAATTGCGATATACAAACGTCGCATCTTATTCGCAAAGTTGGTAAATAGTAATTTTTGGAAAATTCTTGTTCTTTGACTAAATTGAAAATAACTATTAGGTGAAAAAAAGCAGTCAACCAATGCGGTGCGTAACACTCGTCCTCGGCGAACGAAGCAAAGCAAGCTCATTAGACCGGGGACCATTGGCCAAGCCGGCGAACAATGGTGCTTGCCTCTCATACAAGATGGCAATTTCTCCTTCTTCTCACGATTCATTCCCGAACTAAGGAGGTAAAATTTCCAAGAAAGTCCAAACCTCTAGCTCCCGCCACGCCAGGATTGATAGTTGACGGATGTTGCATATTGATCCATTATGCGAGGTTTATATGGATATGCGATTCGTAGATATGCGAAAACAATACGCATAATTGATAGTTATCTAGCCTTATAGATTTGGATATGTGAATCGTAAATTATGTTCGTTACTCATAAATAATGCAGCGGTCGATTTGGATATGCGATAATCTAATTACGCGACAGTTTTTCACATATCCTAAATGATGCGGTTGATCTGGCCTGGATATGCGATTACAAAATATGATATAAATTATTTTTACTTATTTTTTCATTACGTTATGCGAACACAATGCAATTTATCGCACTTTGTTCACAGTTTTGCGAAATTAATTTCAATAATAATTTCCCTTCAAATATTGTAGAAGATTTTTCTGGGAACACAATGCGATTTATCGCACTTTGTTTTGTTTTGACATATGAATCATGATTAAACACATATACTTGACAGAAGAAAAAAATATTGCTGCAGTCAGTCCAACAAAATAAGCCAAACAACTTTTGATTACATGTCCAGTGGATTCTAAGGGTCGAGATCGATGACTTCCACCTTTGGTGGTGGCTGATGGATCTGATCATCACCGTTATCGTCTATGTCTTCCCCCCAGATTGGGTCGTCAACTGAAGCACCAAGCCCGACCTCCAAGTCGATAGCCGCTGCGTTGTGCTCAGTAAAAACCTCGTAACACTCACGATACCAAGGGAATCCTTCTGAACGGAAAAATGCCTGAGCGTCGGTCTCCCGTGTAATAAATTTGAATCTTTTAAGGTTATTATGGCTGCGTCACAAAAATGCATGCTTGAACAAACTAAATTAAAAATTAAATGAAATTTACCTCATCCCGCACATGCACCCAATACATGTGGTTAACCTCTACAAAGCCTCTACAAACCCAGTGCCTGGAATCCTCAGGAAAGCAGAAAATTCATCGAAATAATTTCTGAGCTGCTGAATCTTACGCCGGACTTGGGCAATAGTATACTCCCTCTTCAATGCATAACTCAGCGTTTGGTTCAGTAAACTTGAAATTTCTGCCCACAAGGAATTGAACACAGGGTCTTGGTGTACGTCTGCCTTCTGACGGCACTTTTTGAAAAACAATCGGTAACAAATATCTTCCTCATCCTCTGTCCAGTCCACGCCAAGGAAGCGGATCGCGATCTTTTCATAGGGTGAAATCGTTTCCATTTTTTTTCGCAAACGTGCGCCACCTTGGTTTTTTTTTTCTTTTGGCTGCGATCGAAAGCTAGGGTTTTGAGAAGTGAAAGGTTAATTATTCGACAAAGAGAATGAAATGTAAATATTTATTATTTACAGATAACATTTAATGCTAGGTAGATATACATCAACTCGACAACTAAATGAAGAATCATGCAAATCGTCACAGTTTTTTACGTGTAAGAGCAGAAAATCAATCAATGCGGTGAGTAACTTATGCGAATAATTGAGAAGAACTTTCGATTTGGATATGCGGTACATATCGATATGCAAAAATAATGGCGGATAGTCGCAAATTATGCGGCTTTCGGTTTGGATATACGATTCGTTAATTATGCGGTTGAAGACAAGGCAAATGAACCTGCGAATCAACCCAGTTGTGTTGTTATTATGGGACATGATATGGGAATCGCACAATCAACCCAATTGTGCAATTATTATGGGGCATGTTATGTGGATTGCGCAATCAACCCACTTTCACTACTTTGTGTTAGTCAATCGTGTGTGTGCAGGTCACAACTTAGGGTACCAACCCAATGAGGTACATAACATTACATAACGTCTCCATCTTCTTCTGTTAAAAGAAAAATAATAAAAAAAAAAAAAAACGTCTTTATCTTCATCTAAATTGTCGTGGAATGGATGTATGGACAAGATGACGATTTGTGACATGTTTCTTTACAAGTACGACATCTCCTCGGGCGTCTCGATGTTGTTCTTGGATGAGGAGTTGGTGCGTTTTGACCTTCTTCATTTGAAAAAAAAGTCATTATCACCATCGTATAGAGGGCACTTCGCCCTGTTATGCTCGGTGACCCTGCACCGAGAGCACATCTGCTGACGTCGTACTCGACGTGATGATCCTTCATCAGCGCCCCGAGGATATCCAATATGTGTAAATGAACTAGGGCCTGCTTGATATGAATATGAGGCCTCGTGGGAAAATGCAGAACTACCAACACCAAAAGAACTAGGAAAAACACCTTGGGACGCCATCATTTGCTTGAAGCTTTGTTGCACGCCCCCTGAATCCCTACATTTACTTGCTTCTCCAACTCCAGGTAAATGTTGGGATTTTCTTATTCTTCAATCAGCTCTAAGATATCGTCACTGGATTCGATTTTCATCTTCACGGTTCGTTCCCTTTCATCAAATACTGCCCACAATATGTACTCAAAATTACAAGGATTGGCCTTTAATAATGCTTGAGCACGAGAAAATACTTCAGAATACATTTGTCGGCCGTAATTTATTCTCATCAGCTCTGTGACCCCCAGAAAACGAACCACCATAGTGCAGGAATACTTTAACACTGTTGCTAGCCATTCAAATAAGTGAACAACAAAAGCAATTAAAACGAAAGAAACAGAAAAATGCAGTAGATGAATGGTGCAAAGTGCATACGTTAAATTGTTAGAGATCACTGTTTTTTTGCATGCATGATAAATGCAGAGACAAAATCCGCACCTGTGAAAAAGCAGTCAATTTAATGAGGTGCGTAACTTATGCGACAGATATGCAAAAAAATTTCGAATAGTCGTACAATTGCAAGGTCGATATGGCCCTGCGAAAAAATGGCGCATAATCGTCAAATAACTTATGCTTTATTCGATTTGATTATGCGATTCTTAAATATGCGAGCGAAAAAATGTCGCATAATTGTCAATTATCCGGCGTTATACTGGATATATGCGAAAGTTTTTCGCATATTAATAAATTATGCGATTGACTTGGATATGCAAATACTAAAAAATGCGAAGTCAACAAATTATGCGAATTATATGCGAAACATATCGTATAGTCATAAATTTGCAAGGTCGATATAGCCCTGCGAAAAGAAGGTGCATAATCATCGTCAATTATTCTGTATTCGATTTGGATATGCGATTCTTAAAAATGTAAAAGATGTTCGCATATTTGTAAATTATGCGTTTGATTTGGATATGTGATCCCTAAATATGCGAAATATTTTCGCAGAGTCATAAATTATGCGTCGGTTGGATATGCGCTGGTTCATTTGGACATGCGAGTGTAATGTCGCATAGCATTTCGTGAATTTTAGGGTGTAAAAGAAATTATTTGACGGGGTGGTGTGTAAAAGAAAGAATAGATATATAACAGGGTGAAAAAAATTTTGACCTAAAGATAAACATATTTCCATCCATCAAACAGAGCAAAGCAGATGGAATGAACTAGGTTTAAAGAAGATCAGACCACAAACCGTTTTGGAACTCACATGAAAGCCATTGGAAGAAGACCACCTACCCTAGCTGTTGCGAAGGGGCAAACACATGAAATAGGGTAAAACTTACGCCCTCAATTCGAAAAACAGCAAGAAAACAACGAGACTAAGACTCTGAAAGGGGATTCGAACAAATCCTAAGAAAGGAACTTGGCCTCTAGACAGAGAAAAACCCTAGATAAGGGACTTTTTCCTCAAAGGTATAGTCAATCTTCTGAGACTTGTGATTCAATAATTACATAATTGAAATAAATTGTATTTGTGAATCACCAATTTCACAATACTAGTACGGGGCATGGATGTTAATATAGGTAATCCTCTCGGACTTCGAATAATCTCCCTCTTCATCCTTCTCATCGTCTAGTGGAGGCAAATTGAGAGAAATTTATAGATGAATTTTCTAAAGTTTTAGTAGTGCTTTAATTACCATTAATATGGAACAGTACAAATTCTAATTGTTGATCAATAAGAACTTGGTAAAAGGGGGTCACTTATTGTATGCAAGCTTCTTAATTATAGAGACTACTTTTGAAGATAACAAACTCAAATTTGGTTAGATGCAGTAAACTTGTTGCAGCAAACAAAACCATGAGTTTTAAGCAGTAAACTATAACATGGAAGATCTTCAAGCTTCCCCATATTGTGAACCCATGAAAAATATTTATCATAAGGAATATTGAGAGAGATTCAAGACAAAATGATGCCAATAAAAAAAAAGATATTGGACTCAATCAAATGCATCCAAGATATTGAACTCAATGCCAATTCTCAAAATAATTCTCTCCAATCAAAAGGGTAACACAAACACTTTTCATGAATCTGAAATGAGCAAAAAAATTCAAGAAATAAGTCATAAAAGAATCAGGCTAATACCAACATTGAGCAAGAAAATTCTATTTTGACAAATAGAATTTGTATTTGGAACGAGTATATTAATGATGAGAATTTAATTATGCCTGCAACTTGAGCTAGTTCACTACATTTTTATACATTTTAGTTAAAAAAAATAAAAAAGAAAAAAATGAAAACATGATCCATCAGCAGTGTATCAATATGCACATCTAGTCTAACAACATAACAAAATTATTCATTACATTGAGCACAAGGAAAATGGGTAGATAGAGAAGCCTGATTAAACCTGAAAGACAAGGATCCTTTAATTAAAGAGCAACAACCAAAAGCAGTCCATATGATTTTAAAAACATAGCATCCACATTATTATTCTTCAGCAAACAGAGGATAAAGAAAGACTAAAACATAGTGTGCCTTGTTCTTTTGACTGCGAGTAGCAAAATCGTCAAACACTAGATAGATAAATTAGGAGGCATTTCAGAAAGCACAATGGGACTTCTGACTGTGTGCTTGCCACCCTCATCTATCCAGGTGACAGAACCATGTACGACATGAGCATTCGGTGGTACTTTGTAGTAAATGGTTAAATTATAGCTACCGGTGTCATATTTTTTGTTGAAAACCAACCTCGGTGGCCAAACTTGAATGTGAGCATTAATGGGGGCATCTACCTTGGCATGAAATACGGCTGGGCTACTACCATCGCCCACGTATGTGACCGTTCTTCGAAATTCCTTGCTCAACATCTTGCCCTGATGGTTAGAAGGATAAAGAGCAATGAAGGACGGATAGTTGAGGTCGGACGATGGGATTGAGCAGTTGTAGTCGGATCTGACAATGGTCTTAATTTGCATGGTGGTGAGATTCATAGAGCAGAGATAACTCACATACTCCTGCCGGGATAAGTCATAAACCAGTCCCGGGTGGAGCGCCCGATTTGGGTCGACCTGGCCAGCCCCCATGGCGAGTGGGTCGGCATAGGCACCCGAACTCGCGTCCCGGATTCTGCTCCCGGTATTGTCGAGCGGGTTGGCCGTAGTGACGATGGCAGAACGTACAGCTGCGGGGCTCCACTCGGGGTGTGCGCCTCTCAAGAGCGCCGCAATGCCGGAAATGTGGGGGCAGGACATGGACGTGCCGGAGTCGAGCACGAAATCGCTGCTCAGATCGATGCTCCTCCCGATGGAAGCCCTCGCGACATTTGGATTCCACGAGGCCAGCACGAGGGTCCCCGGGGCCATGATGTCCGGTTTGAGGATGCCCGGGCAGCTCAAGGAGGGGCCCCTTGACGTGTACAATGCCACCACGGGGGCGGGCCTCGTCTCGACCTCCGTCTGCTGGAATAGAATGCTCGCGCTCGGCCGGGCACCTCTCTTGGCATACTCTATCACCGTCTGACCGTCGTCCGGGCTGACCACCACACCGGGATACCTCATACCCTCCATCAATATCTCTTCTTGTATGAGTGCGGTGTTGCCCGAGATGTAGATACCCGCACGCGCACCCGATTCTGAGATAAAGGACATCTGGCTTAAGACATCAGAAACATCATCGCACATGACTATCCCATCACTTGCTGCGGATAGTGCATCGGTCGAGTTGCAGAACGAGAAGGTGGTGTTGTACAGGAGAGGCAAATCTCTGACGAGGGCAGGGGCCGAAAATAGGGACCAGCCCTGGATGGTCACCCCATTTCCCAAACGCAAGGTACCCGAAAACAAACGGTCCACCGACCCAGCTGCAACAGTCAACAGCCACGGGACCCCATTGTGCAGACTCCCAACTGCACCAAAGTTCCCAGCCGAGGCAGACACCACAATTCCTCTCTCCATCGCAGCAAAAGATGCTATGGCAATCGGGTCCTCGTACAAGGGTGGGCCATCGAACCCCATGGAGATGGATATCACGTCCACCCCGTCCGCCAAAGCCTGCTCAATCCCAGCAACCACATCTGAGGCGTAGCGTCCCTCCTCCCATATCACCTTGTACATGGCCACTCGAGCACCGGGCGCAATTCCTCTCATTGTCCCCTCTGCATACCCAAAGAAAGAAGTCCCCGGGACGTAGTTCCCGCAGGCGGTGGACGAGGTGTGCGTACCGTGGCCACGTGTATCCCTCCCCGAGTTCATGCTCAGGGATGTACCCGGCTCCAGACTCGCCATCACACCCTTATTGAAGTACCGAACACCAATTAATTTTTTGTTGCACATGGAAGAGTTGAACTCCTGTCCAACCTCGCATATGCCTGTCCACCTGCTGGGTATGTCCGTCATACCCTCGTCCCTGAAGCTTGGACTCTCCGGCCACACGCCCGTGTCAATAACCCCGACAATGACATCTCGGCCATACTCCGAGGCTGGCCATAGTCCCGTCGAGTTGTTCAGAGACAGGAACTTGAACGTGTGAGTCGTGTCTAGCGTGACGCTAGTGTCACGGTATGCGGAGATGAATGCGGTGGATTTCTTTAGGGCTTCGAGCTCGTCATTAGACAACATCGCGCTGAACCCGTGAAGGGCGTGCTCGTAAGCGTACAGAATATTTGTCTCCTGTTCTGCTTCATTTTTTGAATATTTTTCTCCACGCACAGACTTGAGGACTGACGCATACCAATGAGTAGGGCTGACAAAGGGTTTGGGCATCAAGGATTTGTCCATGTGGATAATGTAGATGCATCTCTCCGCCAAGCCTGCGTACGCAAATCAGAGCCAATTAAACCAAAAACAAAAACAAGATCTAATGTTGCAAACTAAATTTAATAATAACTTGAAATGTGGCTACCTGATTCCACCTCGTCAACAGTAGTGCTTTCTGTTTGGTTGAAGATAATAAGAAACCCCAAGGACAAAATTAATGAGACATTAGCTAGTAATCCCATCATAGTGTAGTTCGTAGAGAAAAAGTTGCAGTGGGAAATGATATATAAGAGCTAGTGATTCAATTTTGTGAAATTCTCTCTCGTATTCAATATCTGAAAATATGTCTCTTACCATCTATATATAAGAGCGAGCTGAAGGAAATGATCGGCCAGTGTGCAAGTGACACGTGCACAAGCCAAATAACCAACAAAAGCAAACAAATAAACTGTGCCCCATTTCTATAAGTGAAATGCGAATTCTAAGAAATAAAGGAAAATAAAGAAACGCATGTACATGCACACATTACACCTAATTAACAGAAAATAGACAACACACCACACCTAAGGAACTACTAATCCTACACATGGTACAATTGATGAAGTTTAGACCTTCTATGGGTTTATTGCACCAAATCCACCTCTATTATATGAAATCTGCGCATTTTACCTTGGTATTTCAAAAATTGCGTAAAACCCCCTTGCATTTAATGTTTACATGCAGACTCGCCCCTTTATGTTAACACCGTTACTTTACTAACGGCGTTACTTTTTTGTTTAATTTACCGTTATACCCTTGTTTTATCAATGAATTTATGATTATACCCTGCTGTCAATATGTAAACTTAATGTTAAAACCTCAAAGGTAGAGATTGAACCCTGTACATTTGGGTTGAAAAAGGCATCTCCCACCAACTGGCTACTTGACATGTAGTTATAAATGTAATTTATTTATACATATCTTAACGTATAGAAAATATATAATAACAATTAATTATAAATAATGTATTAATTAAATATATAGATCTAAGTTATTAATAATATATTGATTAAGAATATATATATATATATATAATTAATTATAAATAATGTAATAGTTAAGAAATATTTTCTATCTTATAAATAATATAATAATTATGTAATTCAATTATAAATTACTAATATTTAATAATTAAATTAATATATTGTAAATTATAAATAATATAATGATTGAATAAATAAATTCTAAATTACTAATATGCAATAATTAAATAAATTTATTTTAAATTTTAAATATTCAAAATTATAAATGATATAATAATTAATAAAACAGATTATAAATTTTAAAATAATATAATAATTTAATAAACTAATTATAAATTATAAATAATATAACAATTAAGAAAAAATATTCTAAAAAATAAATAATATAATGATAGATATAAATTATAAGTAATATAATAATTCAATATTATAAATAATACAATAACTATATTCTAACTATATTCAATAATTTATATAATAATTCAATATTATATACAATAACTATAATTCAATAATTATATTACTTATAATTTATAATATCATTAAATTATGTTTATTTAAGTAATTATATTCTAACTTATAAATATTTATATTAATTGAATAAACTATATTCTAAAATATAAATAATATAGTAATTAAGTAAATATATTCAAAATTATAAATAATACAATAACTAAATAAAGAGGTTCGAAATTATGAATAAGTTTAAAAATTTTATAAAGATTTATGTTTATTCATATTTCAAAATAATTAAAATAATCAAAACTTATTTGTATTATTTGAAGCTCATAACAGAGGATACTTGATATTTTAATTACTTTTTTAATTCTAATTTATTTTTTATTTATCATACATTTACAAAAATTTAAAATAAGTAAACTGAACAAATAATAAGTACTTAAATTATTTATTGCAAATATAAAAATATGAATTTTATTGAAAAAAACTAAAATTTATATATTTATCGAACATTTAAAAAAAGATAAATATTATAAAAACTAAATAAATGAAATATATACAAATCATATATAGTTATTGAATACAAAGTATTTTATTTAAAAATTACCACTTAATAATATATTATATATAGAATTATCATTTTATTTTATTATAAATAAATTTAATTTAACTTAAGTTAATTTAGTTTAATTTTATATATATATATATATATATTATATTACTTCAATTCATAAAAACATATAATTAAAATTCATTTTATATTTATATTTTTTTATTTATTTAAATGAAATTATATTTTTATTTTTATATTAAAGAGTAATATATTGATTATTTAATTTTCATACTTAATTTTTATTATATTTTATTTTAATTATATTTTCTATTATTACTTTATTTTGTGATTGTTTTATTTTTTATTTTTTGTTTGATTAAGTTTTCTTGTGTTCTACAGTTTTAAATAAATGTGTCTTAGATTTGTACCATATAATGATGGTGGCAGAGTGGTGTGAAGCATTATCTATTGGCTGTTTGGCCCAAGTTCGAATCTCAATAGCAGCAGTTTACTTTAATTTTACCCAATAATTGGTATAAAGTCAAGGGACAAAATAATAAATTTTAATTTTAAAATAAAAAATATATAAAAAATAAATAAATAATTTTCGCATTACAGAAATGTGTACTACACGCGCAGTCAAGTTGGATAGAGAAGGGGGAATCGTGCAACAATTAGTTAATACAAGCGGGTCTGATGCAATTTTTAAAATACCAGGAGTAAATGTGCAAATTTCGTATAATACAGGGGGGTTATGTATATTTTACCCGATATTTTATAGAGGAAATGCCTAACAAATAATTAAAGAATAAAATAAAAAATAAATTTATGATGTTTTAACTTTTCATACATTTACTACTTAACCATCATTTAACCGTTATAAACTATCTTGTTTCCATACAAAACATACCACTTACCATATTTTGTAAATTATATCGAATAAGTATATTTTCATTATTTATAAGTATTAATGGAAATTAGTGCACTCCACCACAAAATATATGTATTGTGTTCCAACCCAGGTAAATTGGTGTACTCATCCATTAAATTAGTATCTCTCTGGTGAAAATGAACAAGTTAACGTATTTCCCAAAAAAAATTAGTAATCCATAAATCTTAGAATATTATTAATAAAAAACTAATATCAATGATAAAGCAAGATGTTGTAATTAAGTGGGAAAAAATTGTTTGCCTGAAAATAACATGAATCCACTTATTCGTAATGAATTGAATCTATAAATTACAATAACCTTGACATTTTTTTTATTTTGATTCAATTTTTTATAATAATAATTAAACTGATATTATGATTAGCTTTTATGAAATCAATAAATCTACTTGTAACAATTTATGGCACAGTTGAAGGATATATATATCTATATATATATTCCAAACGTGCTATGCCTAAATATCCCAAACCTTTTCTTTCAGATATATTCATTGTAGAAATCAAAATAACAACAAAAATATCTGGTATGATAAAACTTGGGATAATTTCTATAACACCATTTTTCATTAGCTCATAGCATTTTTCATCCAGATCTAACAAATGAAGAAGACGACCAAGTACATATACTCCCTCAGCTAAGATACACCCTATCATAAAGCGACACGTGTAGGGAAAATAAAACAAAGGAAAATAGAACTAACATAACTCAGCAAGGAAAGCGTGTCACGACTACATAAGTGATCGACGACTTCTGAATAAAAGAAAACAAATGCAGTAACTAAAAAACGTCTTCATAAAACTCCACATCCAAAAGCTGCATTAGCATGCACATGTCAACATTCATNCCTTCAAGTGGGAATGTGGGGATTAAGGCACATTCCCAACTAGCAAACAAATCGATGAAAATCAGCACGACCAAGAGACTTGGTAAACATGTCAGTGGGCTGAAGTGAAGACATAAGATGACGAGGAGAAAGGAAACTAGCTTTGTAAAGATTGCGCACCACATGACAATCGATGTCAAGGTGCTTTGTCCGCTCGTGAAACACCGGGTTGGCAGCTATATGAAGAGCAGCCTTGTTGTCACACCACAAAGAGATAGGAGTCTGCAAGGATAGTGAAAGATCAGCCCCCAAAAAACGAAAGCCATTGAAGCTCACATGCAGTGCTAGCCATAGACCTATACTCGGCCTCAGCCGAGGAACGAGAAACGGTCTTCTGCTTCTTAGTCTTCCAAGAAACCAATGCTTGACCCAAGAAAATGCAGTAGCCAGTAAGAGACTTCCTAGTTAGAGCACAACTCCCCCAATCTGAATCACAAAAGGCTTCCAACTATGAAGAAGGAGTGGCTGCATAAAAAAGTCCTAAAGAGGAGGTGCCCTTGAAGTATTTAATCAAATGCATGGCAGCAGCCCAATGTGCTTGTGTTGGAGCTTGGACAAACTGGCTAAGCTGCTGAACTCCATAAGATATATCAGCCCTGGACAAGTTCAAATACAACAAACGACCAATGAGTCTTCTGTAAATGGAGATGTCAGGGAGGATAGGAGAATCTTGTGAGGACAAGTTAGTCCCTGGAGGCAAAGGAGTCACAGCAGGTTTGCAATCATCTAAAGCAACGTCATGAATAATGTCAAGTATATATCTCCTCTGAGTTAAGAAACATCCTGTTGCTGTGTTGTAAATCTCTAACCCCAAAAAATATTTTGCTCGGCCCAAATCTTTGATAGTGAAAAGATTATGAAGCTAGCTTTTGAGATTTTGAACTTCAATAAGAGAATTCCCAGTAATAAGAACATCATCAACATAAATCAATAAGGCAAGAGTGTAGGAGGCTGAGTGCTTAACAAAGAAGCAGTGATCATGTGATGACTGAGTAAAACCATAACTGAGGAGCTTGTCTGAGAACTCTATGTTCCACTGCCGAGAGGCTTGCTTTAGCCCATACAAACTTCTTTGAAGCAAGCAAACTTCTCCCTTTTTAGCCTTATAATAACCCTTTGGTGGGAACATATATACCTCTTCTTCCAAAAAGCCATGAAGAAAGGCATTGTTTATATTAATATGGTGCAACTCCCATTTCTGCTGTGTTGCTAGGGCTATGAGTAGCCTGACTGAAACCAATTTGGCAACAGGAGAAAAACTATCAAAGAAGTCTATTCCCTCCTTCTGAAGATAACCCTTTGCTACCAACCGTGCCTTAAACTTGTCAACACTTCCATCAGGATTTCTCTTGATTTTATACACCCATCTTGAACCAATGGCTTTCTTCCTAATTGGTAAAGCTGTAAGTTTCCAGGTTTGATTGATCTCAAGTGCTTCTAGTTCTTTTAGTCA